CTCCCCGCCCCAAAACGTGTGTGTGTGTGCGCGCGCCAGGAGAAAGATGAGTGTTTCTTTCATTAACCTAATGGTAATTGCAAAAAGACTCCCTTTTTGTCAGTTTCACCTAATCAAAAGCGAGTATCTGTATGTGGCACTGACAGAATCAGTAAAACTTCACCTTCGACTTTATTGATCTGAACAGACAGGCAGAGTTTGCTATGGTGTTCAATTTAGGGAATTAAAAAAAATCACTCCGCTAACAGCATTTGGTACATTTCTAACCCATATGTCACCTCAGTGCTTTAAATAATTATATTTGCATGCAGGGAGTGATTCATAAATATGTCAGGATTGTGAAATATAGGCAGGCATTTCAAACTTTCTATTTAAAAAACATGAATTATGGCCGCGAAAAATGTGTTCCCATTTAAGGGTGATACGAAGTATTTGGTGTCTAGTACGGAGGCCCATCCATCATATAGACAATAAAGAGAGTTTTTGCCTGACGTTGGAAATTTATGGTTGCCCTTCTCTGCCCTAATAACTCAAGCATTGTGTCAGCCTGTGACAGCCTTTGCAGAAAAACAGCAACCCTGTTATCAATCAAAAAGCCCTTTTACATTTTTAGCAAAACTCTGATCATCCAGACACCCTTTTAATGTATATATTACATCATTATAGATCATTCTGCACTTTTACTGCAACTCAACAAAATGATCCATCACTTCAGGACAGTCCTGATGAACGCTGATGTAAATTATTTGCACGTCACTAGTACAGTACAAAATGAAAAATGTACTTTAGGTGGAATTAATTTTAGGGTGTAAAAAGCTAAAAATGAAAGCAGTTGGGACTAGAGGAGACCTAAATGCATCATTAGAGGTGACTAAAACCAAGCTAATAGTTATCAAGATCATTTTAACCTTTTTTTGGATCGTAGACCTTGTCTGTATCAAGAAGATAGCTAAGATGTATTGCATGCTTCTTCCCCTTCCCCCTCGCAACGTAGCTATCTTGTAATTACTTCGAGGACTATTGTTCGTGTCATATGTGATTTCAGATGAGGTTAATTATTGGGGTACCAATGCCTTTCCTAGCGATACGCTTTAAATTTTCCCTCTATATCTAAGACATCATTCCTAATGCTGTTTAGGACACATGCGGTTGATCTGCACAGTTTCCATAACAAAGTTGTCAATAAACACTCTCTGCATTTTGGATCCAAGTGAAGAAGCCTAAAGATCGCCTCCATTTGTGTGCCACAGTTAATTTCCGAAGGATTACTGTAACCAAATATGTGCTTAGTTAGTATAATTCTCTCAGTTAGCCTCCAGGCTTTTGCAGTAGATAAACACAAAGATGCCTTTATGATTTCTGAGACTCAATGATCAGACCAAGGTGTTACAGAAGCTAAAAGTCTCCCTTTTCACTCTTAAAATCTAGGCAGCAATTATTAGTTCAAGTATGTATGCATGAATTAGGAAACGCCTAATGTTCGCTTGTTTTAGGCTTGATAATTTTAATCGTAGTACATTTAAGAATATGAAATGGACTGAAAATCTCTTTTCACTTAACAGGAAACATACCCAGCCTTTCCCGTGTCAAACTCGTTTGGCTTGCCATCTCTCTCTCTTTCTCTCTTGAAACTTACCTTAAGGCTTATCTAAAATAAAAAGTGTTTACACTAAAAAAAAAAAAAAAAGTGTTGAACATAAAAGAGGATAGTTTGGGAAAACAGCTGTTGGTAAAAGGGTTTCAACATAGGAGTAAAAATTTTTACACACATACATGAAACTCACAGCATCCATAGAAGACTATCAAAAGACTTAACAGAGAAAGCGTTTATTAGGTGTATTCACCTCGTCCTTATCTCTCAGTGTAACAAGGGAAGATGACTAGACAAACTCATTCGAAAACATTTTAGAGAAGGTATATTTCCAAAAGCACTAAGTAAACAAAGAAAAAATAATTTTCTGGTAGTTCAGTCAAAATATCACTGACAAAGAAAACTCATCTTCATTTAAACGTGACTAGTATTTTGAGGATGGCTTTAAAATTATCATTGCTTATACGACAATTAACCACATCTCACGCTGCATAAAATATATATTGCTTACATATATTAGGAAAGTAATTACAATCTTAAGGGTAAATATTTTCAAGTACTATGCAAACAGAAGAGAGGTTTGGAAATCTTAGTTTCTGTTGGCAAGCATTCAAACTACTTGCTTTAATAACATTCTGAAAGAAATACCTCCAGCTCTGCAAGATACCTGTGCAGATGGATCAGCTATTATCTGCGCACACGCGTTCTCATATTTAAAAAAAAAAAAAAAGTCCCTTCCCCAAATGTACAAATTCATGATGCGGTATTTCTGATAAGCCATCATATTTTTATCTGAAGTATTATCATTTTTTGCTTTAAAAAAAAAAGCTGGACATACATCGGTTACAAATATATACTGCAATGCAAATCTTTACAAAAGCCTTGGGGTAGATAAAGGCAGGCAAGCACTACCAAAACAAAACAAAATCGACACGCAGGACAGATAGGTAGCTGAAACGTGTTAAGCCTAGAAATATAGCACAGACACAACTCAGCAACTGTGTTTCTGCTAATAAAAGCTTAACCTTGTTTTAAAAAGATAAAAAAGAAAGGGGGGAGAAAAAAAATCTAGAGGGCCTGTAGGGTTGTTGCTGTTCAATTTAAAAGACTAAACGCCCTTTACCAACATGATCTACAAAACCTGACACTTAAATGGCAAGGGAGCAAGCTCTCAGAGCAGGCACACTAGTGCCGAGGTTTCTGCAGTTCCTTCTCCCAAGGGAAAAACAGTCAGTCCGGGTTTTGGGGGTGATCCTGACCAGGGTTTGCAGCTCGCCAGCCTGACCTGTCAAGCGGATTATTTTAGAGGGAGATTAATAGGGGAGGCGGGCTGCAATAATAATCGTTTTGTTTGATGTGACAACTTTGATAGGCGTTGATTTACTTACAAACTGATAGGCTTTTAATTGAGCGCCTCCATCCAGCTTGAGATGAAAGGAAAACCGCATTGAAAAGCTGCCCGAGTGCCCTCCAGCCTCAATACTGATTAGCCATCTCGACAGTGAATAGTTCAAGGCATTTTCAAACTTTTTTTCCACTCTCTCTCTCGCTCTCCTCTCCTCCTCAAATATCTGCCAGCCCACTCCTTTTTAAGAGAAAATAAATCATTTCCATTGTGTGCAAATAAAATCGACTTGACATGCTTGCCAATAGCTGGTAGGTAAAGGAAAGTGTGGACTGGCACTTGTTAATTAATTCCTCCTTTGCTCTCCTTTTTTTTTTTTTTTAAAGTCACAATTTGCCTTTGTAAGAGGAGGAAGACGGGCTCCAACCCTTAATATTTTTAAAAGGAGAATAAAAACAATAGCCACCAAAACTTCACCAAGACTACACAAGTAAATGCCAAAGAGCAAACCGGTTGCACGGACTCCTTAAAGAAGGATTCCTCGCAAAGGTATCGAGCAGGACGGAATCCATCTTCTTCAGCTCAGGAGAGGGAAAAAAGTCAACAGCAGCCAAACAAAAGCTATGCACCGCTTCAATCTGCAGTCCCATCGCCTGTCCGAAGCTACGCGTGTCCATCCCAACTCCAGGACCCTCGCTGGGAATCGTTTTCTGCGTGCGTTAAGCGCAGTGAATAAGCTGTCATGGCTAAGAAATGCTTTTTCTTTGTAGGGGGGAAGGGGACGTCTTAGGGCTGATTTTTTTTTTTTTTTACAAGCCTCTACATAAAAAGTTTATAGTACTGAGTGTGATTTAAATCTCATTTCAAAGGCTCAGCGAAGAAAAAAAAAAAAAGCTGTCCTCTGAAGTTACAAAATAAACTACCCTCTTATGCTTCTCCTTCAGCCAAAAGGATCGGGGTTCGTGCTGTTCCCCCTTTTCTTCACCCCGCTTTTCCTGTCGATGCGCTGCCTATTTTACACATGCATCGGGTGTCGCCTTTGCTTCCCTGGCTTACAAGTAAAACAGCCCCTACCCGAAACTACCCTTACCTCCACAAGAAAAGAAAGACGGAAGGGAAATTGAGGAGGGGGGAGCCTTCCCACAGCTGACTCTACCTTAAGACAATTAATCTTTAGTCTTTCACCCTGGGAGGCAGGATAAATACAAGGAGAAAACAGATAGGAGTCTCCCCGGTCCTGTAAGG